CGATATTCTAGATTACGTATGTATATACTGGATATTGTATGCATATTCTATAGACCTTTCCCTCCCTCTCTCTCTCTCTCTCTCTCTCTCTCTCCATATATACACACACACACGTTGTCTCCTCAGCCCCAGGCCCAGCCTCGAGCACTGAAACCTCACGCCAGGGCTGCCCCGAGTTCACGGGTGGTGCCCCCTCCTGCACACACCTGAGCTTCACTTATTCTACTGGGGCTCAGGTGCCTGCCCCTGGCCAGCTGCCTCTTTGGGGCCTGGACCTCCCTCAGGCCTCCGGCGCTGGCCCACCCTCAGGACGCACCTGACTTCAGCGTCCCCTCGGCCTGGAGCCCCGGCTGCTTCTGGGCTCGGCAGCGGCCCTGGCAGGTGGGCCCCGTCCGCGCTCCTCTCCCGTGGGGTCTGCAGCCCTGGCTCCGCTCTGGGTTGAAGGACTCTGGCGGACCCTCCCCAGACGTCCCATCATGGCTCGCGGCCGAGCGCTCCCGGGACCCGCAGACAGCAGCCCCCGCCCGTCCCCGCCCCTGCCCGGGGCCTGAGGGGAGAGTGGGGCTGTGCCCAGAGCGTCATCCCCTCTGGGCCACATCTGTTACAGACGAGAGGCAGCAGCAAGGACTCTCCCACCCAGACGGGAGGGGCAGCGCAGCCGGCGCCCAGGAGGGGGCGGCTTCCTTCCATGGGCGTCCGCGTGTCCCCGAAGGCCTAGAGTCCGCACATCATGGTCGCTGTCAGAGAACACATGCGTCTCACAGTGTCCCCTGGGCCCTCCCATGTCATCCTCACGGCCGCCCTCTGTTACCTCACAGAGGAAACTGAGGCACGGAGAGGCGTACAGGGGCCTCGGGAGCCTGAGCTCTGGGTCGCGACCACCTTCCTTCCCCCCTGTGCTTGTTGCCCGGCTCAGCTGTGCAGCTGGACCACGGCCTCACCCCACACACCGCAGGCGCTTAGCCCAGGGTCACCACCGTGAGGCCCGACCACACCAAGGGGGCGCCCAGCCTGCACGAGGGGCGGCTGGTTCACACACCCCAACCCGCACAACCTCTTTCTCAGATCCCAGTAAAACTCCCCACTGACCACCCGTCTCTCTAACCCTCCAAAATCTCAAACACACTTAGTGCCTGAGTCAGAGAAGCCCCAGAGGCCAGCAGTCCAGCTGGGCCCTGTGGATATGGGCACAGGTGTGGTCAGCGGGCCCTGCCCTGCCAGCAGAAGAGGCCGGGGGCCAGCGGGGGGCACTCTGCCCCACCCTCTCCTGCCCCCACCTGATTCTCCACATGGGCGTCTGTGTCTTTAAAAGCCGACATCTGGGAACCTGTGATAATTCTTTCCAAAGAGGCTCACCTCCTGATTGATTTTTCAGCAGTTCTGGCTCCTTTCCCCCAAATTGAAAAGGGTTTTACACAATTGACAGATGATAAAAATAGGTCTATCAAAGTGCTTTTTCTTCTCAAGGGATGAGGCGCCCCCACCCCAACACGCGCCTCTGGCTCGCCGTGCGATGTGTGCGGGCTGTTATTTCACCTCAGAGACCAAGGGAGACGTCCCAAGCCTCAAACCCACGGACTCAGAGCCATGCCTGCTCCTCGCAGGGTACTTGGGGGGCCAGCGCCAGCCTGCTCCTCCTGGGGGCCAAGGATGGGAGTGGGGTGGCCTCGCCTTTCAGATGACAAAGCCACTGCAGCCCCTGGTGACACCATCTTCTCAGGGGTTGGGCTGAACCCCAGCATGTTTTTCCAATAAGGGGCGAGCGTTCAGGGGTGTCTCCAGGGGCGCTGGGCATCCCACACGCTCCCCAGGCAGCTGGGTGCTGGGTGCAGGCAGCATGCAAAACGTTTCAGATGCATTTCCCCACTGAATCCCCACAACACGATTTTAAAACTGGAGTTCCAGGAGGCCAGGTCATCTGCCCAAGGTCACAGCCCAGGGCCAGCGTGGGTCCTCGCTGATGTCGCCTGATGCAAACAGCAAGTCCTCTCGGCCACAGACGGAAACTCTGTGAAGTCACCAGCCAGGAAAAGGAGCCCATAGTAGCTTCTTTTCCGGGATCATCAGAGCACATTCCAGATAGAAATCGCTCCCGTGCAGACAGCATGCCTGGGGCAAAGTTGACTCCACGATTAGATGCATTATAAACCATCCACTTTATCTGTCCGTCTCTCTAATTAGCCTTCCCGGCCGGCATCTGCTGCAGACGGGCGTTTGCGCACCTGAATAAATGGAAGGGAATGACTCTGCCCTAATCTCCGAGAGGCGCGAGATAAAAGATTCACCCTGTTTATGGGGATTAGAGGAGAGCTTTGACCTTGAGCTGGGAAGCATTGTTTTCTGAGTCGACTTTCAATTGGAAACATTGTTGTCTTTCAAAGGGACCGGCACCTGAAACTGTATCAAGCACAAACAATGCTAAATGCGAGCTGCTTTTTTATTGTAAAAGAACGTAAGTAATGTCAGAGTGTTACTGCAACCGGACACGCAGCCAGAGGCGTGTGGGGGGCTGAGGCTGCTAATGCGTGCCTTAGCAATAATTAGATGCTTAGTAGGCTAATTATTTTGCGAATAAAATCAAACAAAATCAAGTAATTAAACAGCAGACAAAAAATATCTAAAGTTCCTTCCTGAACGTTGGAGAAAGTCCGATTCGCAGGGCGGTTTGCGGAGAAAGAGCCGTCTTCCTTCACGGCTACAGGGCTGAGGCCACACACCTCACAGGAGGCTCCTGAAAAAGAGCTGGGGACCACAGTGTCCTCGGGGAAGGGGCAGGTTGCCAGGGAGTGGCGGGAATTACCTGCTTCCAGCCTGAGCCCTGGCTGGCAGGGCTAGGCCCACGGGCTCACCTATCAGGTGGTGACCTGTCACCCGACCAGATACCTGCCCAGAAGGAAACCTGCCCAGACATTTCTGCTCAAGGAGCCTGGAGTGAGAGGGGCGGCCCCTTCTCTCTGCCCCCCGCCCCCCGCAGATGCAGACTGCATCTCTCTGTGTGCAGACCTGTTGGGGAGGACAAGCTCAGCTGGGATATTCTCATCGATGGACCTGCCTGGCCCACGGGCAGAGGTGAGCACCTCCTGCCACCTGCCCGGGTGAGGAGCACACGGGGTCTGGCGGAACGTTGTGGATGGCGTGTTCCGGTTTCTGCGGGAGAAGCAAGCCCTTCCCACCTGGGAAGCCATTCTCCTCTTTAGTTTTCTGACTCATGTGCTCAGTTTAAGTCCTATCGATAACTAGCTGCCGGTGTGTCTGGGGCCCGTGCCACGTCCCCTACGAGACGCGAGGTGCCGAGTGAGGACCAGGGGATGGTGAGGGTAGTATTGGGCAGTTCCGTGAAGGCTAAAAAGCCTGCAAAGAGACAGAAGCTAAATAATTTAGGCTCTGGGGGCCAGATGGTCTCTGTCACACTGGCTCAGCTCTGCGAGTGTCTGCATGGGGAGCTGGAGACAATAATTAAACGAACGGCATGGCAGTTCTCCAATAAAACTTTATTTACAATAACAGGCAGGCGGTGGCGGGGGAGGGGGACTTGGCCTTCGGGCCTTTGTTTGCAGACCCCGATGGGGGAGACAGTAACTCATTAGGGACGCGATTCACATCTGCCTTTCTCTTTCGCAGGGCCAGCTTCACAGCCACGAGGCCACCTGCTCCCGTCACCAGCAGGTCTCGGCCAGGAGCCAGCAGCAGTCACCGGCACACACGCCAGCCATTAGGTGGCCTTTCACAGCTGTGTCACTGGGAGGGCTGACGCTGTCCCACAGCACACAGTGTACACGACGTGGACTCACCTTGCTCAGAAATAAGGAAACAAGAGCTTTCAAAGCCAGCGCCCAGCGTGGGACCCACATCGCTGTGGGGCCCACATCACTGCGGAGCCAGTGTGGCCGTGTGGCTGGGACAGTCAGGCCCAAACCCTGCTGGCAGTTGCCTGCACGGCACCATTCACTGAGCTTCTCTGCCGTCTCAGCTTCGACCTCTGTTCTTTGTTTATAAGTCACTTGTCAAGATTCTTGCAAGCATTTTATTTGCCATGTTCATCCCAGGTCCCCCGAAATGAGAGCGCTCTTGTTGTTGGGGTCACGAATCCCAGCAACCAGCCCCACGTGGAAAACACCCACCACGGAGTCAAGCATCTGAGGCAGGTCGTCTGCCCAGGAAGGCAGCATGCTCACGCATCTTTCTCTTCAAAGGAACCATGTCTGAAATAACAGCAGAACAGGAGAGAGGCAGCCGCTAACTATAGAATTAACTGCCTCACAGAGATTTGGCACTTGGGACTGGGGACGGGAGGGAGCCGGCCAGGCACCCTCGAAATAGCACGTTCTGTTCCGAGCTTGCCCCCAGTGCAGACAGCACGTTGGCCCAGGTACAGCCGTCTGTTTCCATACAGTCTAGCAAGTCTGGAAAATAAACACACCACCCGAGCCACCCGCCTGGGAGGAACGGAGGAATCCGATTAAGCCATTTCCGTGGAGCGAAGCTGCTCAAACCAGGATAAAATGATTTGGAAGGTACAGTGTCAGGGCCGCTAAAACGCGTGGGGGGGGTGTGTGTGAACATTCATCGACTGCAAATTGGTTTTAAATGCTGTCTGCTCTTTAAGGAGATTCGGTTTATGAAGTTATCTTTGTGCCTGGGGAACATCCCCCAGCCCATCTCCCCCCAGACACGGGCGGGCAGAGCGCTGGGCGCACTCAGGCCTCTGGCTCCTGGGCAGGGCTTGTGTCTGGGCAGGCGAGGGCCAGCCCACAGCCCACCCCGAAGCCCGCGGGGCGTTTGGCACCACAGACGAGCACTGTCAGCAGTCAGTGTGGGGCCGAGCGGGGATGGAGGGCTCCGCCTGCCCCCCGCCCACCTCTCCCCTTCCCTCATCCTCTTTCCTTCACCCCACACCAGAGTCCCTGCTGGGTGTCAGCCTGTTCTGGGGACCTGCAGTGAACACAGAGACAAAACCTCTGCCCTCAGGAGGCTTACATTCAACAGGAGCACAGGCCAGAGATGAAACAAACCATAAAGTGGGCAGTGCTTCAGGCGGTGGTCACAGCTAAGCGGAACAGAGCAGGAGAGGACGGCGGGGACTGGTGTCCAGGAGCTTCTCAGAGAGTGACACTCCAGTGGAGGGAGGCGGGGAGCGAATGCTTAAATCACTGGACAGGAGACGCCAGGCAGAGACAGCAGCCGTGCAAAGGTCCTGAGGCAACTTCAGGGCCCAGAGTGCCCAGAGCCTGGGGAGGGGAGACAGCTGGAGCAGGAGGGGTGGGTGCCTTGTAAGACTGACCCCGGGAGGAGCAGGGGGGTGTCCCTTGGCTCACATTTCCCAGGATCACTTGGCTGCTGGGGGACTTGAGGGGCACAAGCCTGGAGGCCAAATGTCCAGGTTTTCCTCTGGCAACAACCACGAGAACCAAACTGGCAGAAGCCGCCTGCGGGTCCCCCGCCTTCCCCTCCCAACCTGGACCGTCCCCTCCCCTCCCTGCCCTGCGGTCAGCCCTGGACCATATCAGGTCCCAGAAAGCCTGTGTCCCCGCCTTATTCCTCCCTTAGCTCCTGCTTGCACCCTGGACGGCTGGGTCCTGCGTTTTCCTTCTGACCCGTTGTCTCTCCAGCACCTGTATGTGCGTGTATGTTTGTGTTCATATGTGCACGTTATGTACACACGCACACACACATACGCCTGTCCATGTGGTGTGTGTGGCTGATGGCCCTGGGTTTAAAAAGCAAAGGGCTTTTCTGAAACCTCCTGGTCAGTGACAGCAGCCCTTGGTGCCGCCTGGGGACAGCCCCAGTGGGACAGCGAGCCCCAGCTAGAGGGATGGCCTGCTCCCTGAGCCCCTGTGCGTCACATACTCTGGGAGCCCTGACAAGTGGAAGGAGAAGCGTCAGCATAAGGCAGAGGGGACCAGACGACCACAACACAGGTGGCCACAGGGCCACCTCTGGGCTCAAGGGTCCCGGCTGCAGGTCTGTGGGGAAGACGTGGTGGCCCAGGTTCCCACCTGGGGCAGAGGACAGTCACCTACAGGACCTGGAGCGCTGTCTGGTCCCTGGGAGCCGGGGCCACACCTGCCCTTGCCGGAACCCAGCACAGGACCTCCCGCTGTCGGTGACCACAAATGAAGGGGACCCACCCAGCGTGTCCACCCTGTGACAAGCCCCCGAGGAGCTTCCTCGTCTACAGAAAGTCCCTGGATCCTGGTGACAAAGGTGACAAATGTCAGTAGCAGCCTCATCTTCTTCCCCCAGGCACCTTCAGACTGATAGGTTTGGGTCGCCCCTGACGGACCCACAGCCCAGGAGTGGCCCTTCCCGAGGTCTGATTTTGGGAGCTGGCAGAAGCTTCTGAAGAAGACCCTAAGAAACCTCCCAGATAATATCTAACCTCAACCACCATCGCCGCCCTACCAAGCAGGAGTCCACCCAAGTGCAGCCTGGGGAGCCCGCCACCCAGGACAGGTCCTTCCAGAGCCTGGGAAAAGCTGCTCAATCCCAGAGCGGGGCCCCCACATCTCCAGGTAGTGAGCAGCCCCCGCCCCAGGCAGTGAGAGTGGGGTATGCAGGGTGGAGGGGCTGAAAGCCACCTGTGCTGAGCTAAGTCCCCTGTGAGACCAGGTCTCTGTGCTGGGGTGGGGTGGGGGCCTAAATCCCCCATGCAGCTCCCTGGGGGTGCCTGTGCATGGCACACGCTGAGGCCCTGGCCCCTTGCCCCTTAGCTGCGCCCACCCCCAGGCTGGGCTGGAGGTCTCAGACCTGTGGAGCACACTGGTCAGGAAGGAAAGAACAATAAGATTGCAGCACAGAGGAGACATCCCGCCCGCAGGGGGGATAATGCGATTGCAGCAATCCTGGAGGCTGGGGGTGGGGGTGGGAGTGGGGGGGGACAGGAAGCGACACAAACCTTCCACAGCCAGAACCAGGGGCAGGGCCGGGCTCCCGGATGGTAAATCAGAGCCTCTCTTGACGTAATTCTTTGGAAACAAGATTGTGAGATATGCAAAGCCTCCAGTGCTGATGTCGGACCCTCAGTGCAGAATTTAATCTCTTTCTCATTTTTTCCCTATGTGACCCACAGGGCGGACGGGGCGTAACACCGTCCAGGGTTACTGTTCTCCCGGGAGTGTCCTCAACTGGATTCCTTCAGCACACGCCGTCCAGAGGCCTCCCCTTGGGCACATGAGGGAGCTGTGACACACGGTTCAAGGTCCCTGCTCCAGGTGCCTGTCCCTCTGTGGCAGGGCGGTGAGGGAACCCGGCTGGCATCCCTCAGGCCTTCCTGGGACCAGAAGGAGCATGACCTGCAAAGTTGCTCAAAGCAAGGATGACTCAAGCAGGTAAGTTGCAAACCATCTTGGACCTCACGGCTGAGTGCCCACCCACCTGACTGGGGGCGACCACACATGATGCCAAACCCCGTGCCCCCTGCAAGTGACTCAGGCGTGGGCAGGACCACCCAGCCAGGGCCATTTCAGCTGCTGCAGGCCAGCTGGCACCAGTTCACAGGCCAGGTTCTGGGTGTTAGTAAGGCAAGGAAACAGCAGGCCTCTCTCTCTCTCTTTCTCACACGCACACTCATGCACACACATACGTGTGCACATCGCGCTCACACACACATATGTGCATGCGCATACCCACACACACACGTGCGTGCTCTTGCTCTGAGATGGGCACAGCGGTCTGGCCTGCGGACACGGCCTGTGGGGAGCTGGGCAGCTCTGCCCGCGCACCTGCGTCCTGGTCTCCTGCTTTTTGAGCGGATCTGCTGTCACCGCTGCTGCGAGCAGGGCCTGGGGCTGGCGGATCAGCTGCGCTCAGCGGCTGACCCCGTTCCCTCCCATGTGTTCCAGCCCTTCCGGATCCCATTAAGGATGCGGCAGGCTCATCCCCCAGAGACTCACAGGCCGGAGAGTTATTTCCGACCTCATTTCCATTTCCTGACAAAGAGAAGTGACATTTCTGAGTTTCGCCAACAGGTAAAACACCTGAGAAGGCCATGCCGGGCCTGTGCCAGACCCCCGGGAGCCTGAGCTGAGCGCAGCCGGGCTGAGCGGGCTCACAGGCTTCCCAGCCAGGCTCCCGGGAGGGGACAGCCGGCTCTCAAATCATCATGTCTCACCAACTCAAGGACGTCGGAAAGAAAGCTCTCCTTCCACCCACACACGTGCTGCCACGCCAACACACGTGTGCACGAGTGCACACACACACACACACACAGGCACACACACGCGCACACACATGAACACAAATACACACACACACACACACACATTCACACACGCACACACCTCACAGCTTTCCCTGATGGTATCAAAGGGGCCGACGCTGGCCGGTCAGACACCTCTGAGCCGAGAAGGACCTGTGGTGTGCAGCCTCTGGGCTCCTTGTGTCACATTACTTCTCGCCACAGCCCAGGGCCTGTGCTGTCACTGGCCGCTTCCACAGGTAGGGCACTGGGGCTGGGGCCTGCTCACATCCCCGGAAGGGGAGCAGCTGGGACCCGAGCCCCGCTGTCCGGACCACAGAGCCCGCCAACCCCCCCCCCCCCCATGCCTCACGTTGCCCTCGTGTTGGAGGAAGGCTCACAGGACGGGGCCACGCTCAGACACAAACACGCTCACCTACACGCTCAGACACAAACGCATCTGCCAGTATTTTGGTGAAACGGCAGTGAAGCCCCTTATTTAAAGGGAGTCCTTCCATCTCCATGTTTGTGTCACACGTAAATGTTTACACAATGGTACATGGAGAAGACTTGGGACCTTGTCTGCCAGACAGTGAGGCCTGGAGGGGTGAAGCAGGTGACCGAGGGCCTCCTGCCGGACCCCCGCCCCCGCCTCGTAAGCCCGAGTCCGGCCTCTGTTGGGCTTCAGCAGCCCGGACACCCGATGGAGTGGCCATTGTCCCTCAGCGATCAAGTCCATGTGGTGTGCGAGTCCTTCCCCCCTCAGCGTTCCCAGTGGCCGGACACAGTGGCCTCTGCAGTGTCTGTGGGTGGTGAGTAGCCTGAGTGGGTGACCAGGAGCAGTGGGCGGCCAGTCTCCCCTTGGTCTCAACACTGGAGCTGCTCTCCGCACGGCCACTTCGCCGCCCAATGGACTTTCTCGCGCCCACAGACTCGCCTGGTCCTGGGTCCCACCCCCTCACTTTTGGGAGCTGAGGGGGACCAGTATTTGCCCAAAACATGCCTTTCGAGATATTGATTCCCAGACGCAGGAAGAACCTTTGACCCCCGCCCTTACCTGCCTACAGGAATCCAGGTAGAAACACCTGCTCACAGGAGGGGGCGTCCCCTTAGCCTCAGAGCATGAACTAACTGGCCAGCAGGAGGGACCAGGCAGAGCCCGGGGCTGGACTCACCGCTGTGTCCCACTGTTTCTGGGTGTCCCAGCCAGAACCTGTTGACCGCACGTTTGCTCTTTCTCACCCACCTGTGAATGGCCCGCTTTCCCTTCGAAATCCCAGCCCTGCCTCCCTCTCCTTTGCCCAGAACAGCACATAAACATTAGCTGCCACAGCGTCCAGGGTCTCATGTGCTACGGCACCCCCGCGTGTACATCTGGGTCTCATGTGCTACGGCACCCCCGCGTGTACATGCGTGATAAACCCGACGTTTTCTCCTGTTACCCTGTCTCCTGTTAATTTGATTACTAGCCAGAAGAGCTTAGAAAGGGGGGAAGGGAGTTATTTTTGACCCCACAGGACACACCAGGCTGGGCTCACAAGTGGCTTTTCTCCAGTGTCTGCGTGTGTCACAGCCTTTGGGGGGCTGCCCTCCGTGGTCAGGAGCCCGCGGTGCCCAACTTCCCCTCCGCGTGTCCCCTTCCCTGGAGGTCTCCCTCACGCCCGCCCCACGGGCCACTCGGTGGGGCTGTTCATTTCCTGCCTGTGGGCTCGCTGTACGTGCCAAGCAGAAGGGCCTGTCCTGCCCGTGGCTGATGAGCCCAGACAGGCGCAAGTGTTGTGAGCACAGCGCATGACAGGATGAAGGGATAAGGCGATGGTGACTGAAGACGATGGACAGACCAGCGGCCCGGCTGCGTGGTTAAGGCACCGCCGTCTTAGCCCCCGGAACGCGAGCATCTAGGCTCCGGCGAGAGAGTTTTACTGTTTTTCGGTGACTCCCGCCCCCAGCATGTAATGGAAATACGTGCAAAGTGGGCTCTCGATAAATATTTGTGGAATGAAAGCATAAAAAGTTTTCCATTAAGTTATGTTTAATGAAAGTATTTTAATAGTATTGTAAATAAAACCGAAAATTCATTTTACTTTTTCCTTTCCTACATGGAAGGATGTAAGAATACTGCCTGGGAATAAATAGAAGAAAATAAAAGTGATGGGAATGCACTGTAATATCTTTCTTGGCCATATTTTGGGAAAGACATTACTTGAAATACTGGCAAAAGGAAAGTGTTTATTAACGACAAAGCAAACCTGGAAAGTTTTAGCAGGTTCCTTTTCTTTCAGATAAGCATCCAATTACGTAAATACATGTACTTTGTCCTTCAGAAATAAGGTGCGAAATAATAGAATACCAAATGCCCACATAAAACGCCATCTATTATGTTTAATTTTCCGTGTGGAGTAGAATACATTTTATGCCGTGAGGGATAAAGGTACCAAACTCTTGACTCTGTTCTTCCCCAAAAGTATCTACTTTGAAAATATGACTGTAAAAGACTGAGGACCAGGGCAGGACCACGACATGCGCTAGAGAACAGGTTCGGTCCTGTTAATTCCTCGATAAGAAGCATCGGCTGGGAAGGGAGTGAGGGAGTTTATTCCCGCTCTACAGGTGAGGGTCGGGGGGCGGCCAGGGGCCCAGGAACTTACCCAAAGTGCCACAGCTGGTGGGCGACAAACTGAAGATTCAAAGGGAAGACCGCGCGACAAACACCAAAGCCCCTGGTTTATGCGACTGCTCCGATAAAACCAAGAAGTAGCCCCCAGCGTCCCTGTCGTCCGGCTGTCCTCTCACTCCAGTGACTTGCCGCTGTAAGCTACGCTGATCCGTTAGTTGGCTTCTATGAGGAAGCTGTAAAGCAATCCCATAGAAGGAAGCTGGAAAAAGAGGAAAGGTAATATTTGGGATAGAAAAATCTCGATTCCATATATGGTATGTCAGTTTTTTTAAGTTCCCATAAAATTCCATCTGCTTTTGTTTTTGTTTCTAGAGGTAGACGAGTTGGTCACAAAGTTTATCAGGAAAAAAACAAAAACCAAAAACCAAAACTAGCCAAGAAAACCCTACAATAAAATGCAGTGGGTAGAGGGCTAACCTGTCAAATATTAAAACATATCACGAGTCCTCTAGAATTATAAGAGGAAGGTGTCAGCGCATGAGTAGACAGGCTAATGAAAGTGAACAGAAAGCCCAGAAACACACACAATTACACATGAAAATATCGTATGCAGTCAAGATAGCACCTTGGAAGGTGGAAAAAACATGGATTTTTATGAATCCTGTTGAGTAACTGGGTAACCACGTGAGAAGATAAAGTTGGATCCATTTCTCACACTATATATGAGGATAAATTTGAAACTGTTGAAAAATTTAAAAAACAAACCAACAGGTACTAAAAGAAATGAGTTCGGTTATAACATGGTGGGTCCCCTCAATTATAGAAAAGATAGACGCTGTTGCAGGGCAAAATACAAGCAAAGTAAGAAGCATAGCAAGCTGGGAAAACGTACATGGCTTATGAGAGAGAGAGAGAGAGAGAGAGAGAGAGAGAGAGAGAGAGAGAGAGAGATTATCCTTAATATAGAGAGAGCTTTTTGAAATAATGAAAAAAAAGAGATCAAATCCAATTAGAATAATGAGCTGGCGCTATGAATACAGGAAATAAATGCAAATCGCTATTAATCATGGGGAGAGATGTTCGGTCATTCTCATAAGGACAGAAGGAGAAGCAGTTGCCCCTGCCTGGCAGGCCTCCTGGCACCTGGTGGGAGCTCCCTGGAGGCGCCTGAGCCTGGACGGAGTGCCTGGAGCCGCTACCCGGGGACTGAGAAGCGAGTGGTAGTGGTGGGGTGGTGAGGGAGACCAGGAGGCCACCAAACCCTCTGCGAGCTGCCACCTCTTCCTGCCAGCATCCCCGGGCCTGACGCAAAGGAGACACAAAACCTGGAGAGGCACCCTGAGTACAGAGAGAAAGACCCCAAGACAGGCTGCTGCTTTCAGGATGAGGAGGCTTGTGAGCATCGGACAGAGCGGGAGGAAAGCCCTATTGTTTTCCCCTGTCCCACATCCAGACAGAAGTGACAATGGCAGCACAATGAGAGCAGGACTGCCTGTGGGCACCTGCAGCTCTGAGGGGGGTGGGAGGCAGCCTTTCTCTCTGACAGAGGAGCTGAGACCTCAAGAGTGTGCGGTGATCCCCCCTGTTTGTTCCTCTTTCTGTCCTCCTGGCACCTGGGCCCAGATGAAGGTGTGGTCACAGCACACGGACAGCAGGGCCAGGAAACAGGCCGTGGCTTTCTGGCCCAGCTTAGGAAGGGAACTCTAAGACTTGGAATGTGTTGGAGAGATGGTGGTGAGGGAGTACTTTAAAGTGAGCCCCCAAAGTTGTGTACAAACCCGGGGCTCGCCTCCGAGCTGTGCATGTGTGGGTCTGACCCCGGAAAGCAAGCTCAGACTGTGAGAGCTGAGCTATGAGGCAAACCGCTGCCCAGGTCCCAGAGTTCCCACTGCATGGTGGACACACGGGCTGATGTGAATGTCACTGGACTGATCGCAGAAGGCAGGTCGGAGCCCGAGGCCTGAACATGACCTGGGTTTCCTGTGTAAACAGAACACACACAAGTCAGCATCCACCTTGGGCTGTAAAGGGTCCCCAGTCTCAGAATCGTGTTGAATATGCCCAGAGCCCAACTGGAGCTCACTCAGCATACAGAGCACCAGAAAAAAACATTCAGCTAAGGAGGGTAAAGAACAATGGACAGAAGCTATGCTCAAGAAGACACAGCTACCTGGATTATCAGACAAGGACTTTGGAGCAACTGCTATCACTGCTATCACCATGCACTAAGAAGTAAGGGCAAACACTCTTGAAACAACTGGAAACAAAGTACCAGCCAAGAAACAGAAGCTCTAAAGATGAATTCAATACGTATTTTAGAACTAAAATCTTCCGTAGCAAAAGTATTCAGTGCGTGGACTCCACACCAAAATGGAGGTGACAGGAGAAAGAGAAATTGACTTGAAATAGAGTAATGGAAATTATTTGCAACAACAGAAAGGGCGGGGGAATATTGAAAAATATAAGTAGAGTTCAGGGACTTGTGGGAGAATGTGAAAAGACCAAAACAAAACAAAAAACTTGGAGTCTCAGAGGAGAAGAAATAGGGAGGGGTCTGGGGGTGGTGGGAGGGGTGATGCGAAGAGGCTGGAGGGGACCTGGGGGTGCAGACGCGGCTGCTTTGGGGATCGAGGTGATGGTGTCACAGGTCTATGCATCTGTCAGAGCTCCTCAAACTGAGCAATTTAAATGTCTATTGTTATTATATGCCCATGGTATCTCAATGAAGCTGAAAAAATAAAAATAATTAAAAATCAATAAAGCTGAAAAAATAAATTAACAGGTAGACTTGATCAGCAAAATCAAAAGCTCCTTCCTTGAAATTCTAATAAAATAAGCATGGTAAATCTAAAAGAGACATCATATTATAATTATAAGAAAATAATATAACTATGGAATGATAAATTTTAAAAGCTAAATGAAAAATGCAATACTTAGGGAAATGTAAATGAGAAAAATTACTTGAAATAAGTGACAGTAAGTCTAAGGGGAGAAATGGTCAAAAAGAAGTTCAAAACCATTCTGTGAATCAACCTTTCACAGGCAGGGGGTGCAGGTGGTAACTAGATATGTTCCACTACTCCTCACAAATTTCATGTTGACAAATCTGTCTTTTTTCACTCATATCTGAGTTCTACAGTATGTTCCTCAGAAGGGAATTCTTTTTTGTTATTCATTGATTGTGGTCTTCATTTGCTCCTGACTATCCAGAAAAATGTGTGAAACACAAACTTTAAGGACATTATAAACATTGTAGGCGTGGGATAGAGCTCTTTGGTATTTGGGTCTGATTCCTAACCACCTTCTGTCTCTCGAAATAATTCTAATAGTTTCCATTTAATTCTGTCGGATTTTCCCAGTACTCCCATCGGTTAATAACGCTGCATTTGTGAAAAGCATCTTCCTGTAGGACGCCTCCAGCCCCTCTGCCCTGTGTCGCTGTGGTGAGGACTCTGTCTCCTACTGTGACTGCCACATAGCAGCGTTATTAACCGATGGGAGTACTGGGTGGGAGGATTTCTCTGTACTAGTGCCCACCCCCCCACTTACATTAGCAGCGTGGGTCTCAGGAGAAAGCCCTCACCAGCACGTGGGAGGCCCGGGGAGGCTGCCTGCAGAGGCCGACACAGGACACAGCTTCTGTCACACGGCGGCGGCTCCGCCAGCACCCTGCTCCTGCCCACAGACCCCACTCCTGGACCAGAAGTGATTGGCTCTGGTATTGGCAATGGGTATCGACAAAGGCCTTCCTTCAAAGTCCCAGGCTGACTTGCGGGATCAATAGTGGTGCAGGGAAATAATTAAAACTGTCAGATTTAGAAAGTATTAGGGGTACTTAGAGCTTTCTGCCAACTATGGAAAACAGGGATTAATGGTGTTATCTCGAACACTTCTAAGTTACAGAGCAAGTTATTAAAGCCTTTCTTTGACACTCGTTCGCAGGAAAGGGTCAACATCAAAGGTTTCAGAGCAAACCGTCGGAGTCCATTAACCCGGGCACAGCTGTTTGCCCAGAGCCACACACCGGCCAGGAGATCAGAGGAGACTTCCACAAGAGGCTGTAAAATTAAGAAGCATTGAGACACTCACGCACGTCAGCCCCGGGGCCTCCGGGCATCTGATAAGGGTGGTCTGGCGGCAAGGATGAGCCGTGTTTGGGAGAGGGGGCTCAGGGAGGGCCTTAGCCCCACGCGGGGGCCACGGAGACACTCGGTCTTGCTGCAGATGCTGCTGTCGCAGAGCTGGACAGGGGCAGGGCACGCGGGGACTGGGGGTGCGGGGCCTGGGAGACCCCAGCTGGCCGGTCCTCATGGGGGCGTCCCAGGCCCAGGGTGGCCCAGCCTCTGCACCCCCTGTCCTCTGTCCTCGGGGGACTCGGAGGCTCCCCTCCTGCCCCCTTCTGCGGGCGCCTTTCTTAGCCTCCTTCCTATGGAGACATCCTGCCCTTCACCACCCCTTTCTCTCCCCCTTTCTCTCCTCCTCAGC